TGGTGGATTGGGCGGCATTGATCGCGATCATTATATTGGTGATATCAACTATGTATGTGCCAGTCTCAAGTCAAGGTTATTCGCAATTCGTAATCGATTCGACACTAGTCTATTAGCCGTACCAACCTTAGTCTACGAATATATTCAAATCGGAATTGGCGCGGTGGCCAACTAATGGGGAGAGTATTTTGTCGATTGCGCGCAAGTAGCTAGCATGCCAACGGTTTTCTTCAACATTTGTGGCACCAATTTTGAGCTCGAGGGTTGGGTTTGCCGGTCTAAACAGAGTTAGATCGCCAAGACAATAACCCTTCGTCGAGAAGAGACCCGAGTCATTTTTGTGTGTGGAACTGGCTGTCGTGGAATGGAATAAAGATATCTCAACTGGAAGATTTAGCAACTGGTAAATCAATATGGTGTGAGTAAGCACTGACTAATCGTGATCTGCTTGTCTAGCCCGACCAATCGCAAATACTTGCTGAAAATCACATTCTGTGATGGCGCTTTTTCGCTACCGAAGGAAGGAAGGCGTAAGATATTTATGTGGATAAGGCCAAACGTCCTGTGATCAGAAGGAGGTTCAACCCTATTAGTAGCCAACCTTTTAGATACCCATTCGAAAGCTTCCAATATAATTGGCTCTGGCGGAATTTGCAGGCTGATGCTGTTAAAATTGGGTCCGGTTGGAGTTAAATACCTCACTACATGCGGAAGTCTGTGAGAGTAGTCATACTACTAAAACCGTGGAAACTAACCAACAAAATAGAGTACTATCAGTCGATAACGCTCCTTTTCCTAATAGTGAAGATACTTGAGGCCTTACTTTACTATACACGAACTTTACTTCCAATCTAACAACAACCACAGTACTACCTCAGCCCTTAACGGCTTAAATAGTCAGCCGTAACCGCACGAGCGAAATAATTGTTCTGGCATGGCTAGACTTGTGAAAAGCTTTTGATATCCGTTATCATTCCGCACTGGAAAGGACTTAGAGGTATCCTCCCCCCACAGGAATTAAAACGGTGGACCTAAGTTCACGATTCCTAGATATCGCAGAACTTTCTCGCCTTACCACCTATCCTGCCAAATCAACGGCGACCCTCTTTCCACCTGGAGGGAGGAGCTTAAGCTGCAATAAGGCATCTACGTAGATGACTCTCCAACTCCGACGGTGAGTAGCCCGTTAAGGTTTTTTAAGGGTTACTTTTGACAGCTTCCTCTCCTTTTCCTAGCACTCAGCTGCCAAAGTACAAAGCTGCAAGAAGAAAAATTCGCTGTGCGACAGCTCACTGGCAGCATTTGAGAGTATCCGAACAGTCATTTGCTGGAAGCAGAGCCTCCTTCCAAGTATACATACGTAACCCAACCCCTGAACCCGAGGATGTACCGAAATGCAAAAAAAAGACATCCATAGAGTGTATTAGACCTTCAAATACTCTTGCCACATGAATGTCGCAGTAGGAGTTCAATCACCACCCATCGCAGACGAGTCTTCCCATGACAGTCGGGTCTACCGGAACAACCCAGATTAATATCTGGACTGTCATTCCAGCATTATTCCCCAAAAACTCTGACTGAACTTATACCCAACCAGTCTCGACTCTGAGATGCCAAAGAGTACGCTTCTTGGGCCAGCCGTTACTTGAACTGGACGACAATGATTGGTAAACTAGGCGATTTACGCAGGGCCTATTAGTGCTCTATTTCGGGAATTTGTATGCGGTATAACTAAATGAACAACCACGATACACTAGCCGAATGAAGTAGGGCCAGTACAATAACAACTGATAGTATATAAATTTTTAAAGTTAGATTTTTATTGCGTCGTATTAAATTTATTTAAATCTAATGTTTGAAATTAAAAAGTAGATAAATGTTAACAACAAAGAGGAGAAGACCATAAAACAACAACAAGAACACTAAAGAAATCCATGGGAGGCACCAGTCACTAATCGTTCATTGGAGCTGCATTATCTTCGTTACCATTGGCAACAATTGGAGGCGGAACTGGCGGGGATTTCACTAACATTTCCGTTTGGTTTGTGGCCATTACTGCTTGCCTTCCGCATAAATTCAACCCTGACATGTTATTTGGTGAAGGCATATTTTGAGTTGGCGAATTTGGAGCACCTAATAAGAATAATGATTCAATTAAAAAAAGAGCAAAATATAACACAGTGCAAGGTTAGTTTCATGAGCTATAAAGCAAGTGTATTGCTGTGGCAATGCTGTGCATGTGCATAGAACAGCTGATTTTGTTTACGTTTTCTAAGCAAAACCACACGGAGACACGGCACTAATTTACTTACAAGCTCCACCTCCATTTGTGGCAGCACGAGCTGGACGAGTTTTGTGGAACATCGCTGCTACAGCAGCAGCCTGCTGTTGTGTTTGGTGATAGATTTGCTGCTGCAACATCTGTGCGTATATCATACGCTCATAAATACCTGTAGTTGTACCAACAGTAGGGCCTTGCGCGGTGGCGCCACTTAAATATTGAGTCTCTTTGAAAAATGTATTCAAATATTGCTGTGTTGTTGTAGTCAACATCGGATTGGAGTATAAAATGGTAGGCGAGGAGGCAAGTGCTGCATTTGCTAAGCTATTTGAAATAAAGTTTGTCGTAGTGGATGAATGTTGATTGTAGACAAGTGGTGGTGCAGCAGGAGCTGCCGCAACATAAGTGACTTTGTTGCCGAGGAACATGCCATATGCAGTACTTCCAGTAGCTGGTCGTACGGAAGCAGCTTGCATACCATTACACATTTGATAATAAGCAGCTGCAGCGGCTGAATTAGCGGCCGTAGATTGCTTCTGAAATGAATGCACAATTTACATATAGCGTTGATCAAAATCTACATCTTTTAAACTGAAATTGCTTACACTAAAATTTGCGAAACCTATGCCAGTTGTTGACTCCGGCACTTGTGGTGTTGGATATAAGCCATTACCGTAGCCAGCAACAAATGGCACTGCTTCCGGTGGCGTATTTGCACCTTTGTCGTTAAGTAGTGGCGTTAGATTTTCAGGAAAATCGAGAAAATCTTTGCCGTAGATGGCATAGTTTTGTGCAGCTTGAAAATATTCAGCACTTCCATTCGGTGGATGACCAGTGGTGTCTCCATAAATAGCGCGATTCACCTCCTGCACGTATGTATTACTGCTACTGCGACGACAATTTGATTCTAATTTTGAATTCCAATCGTTTTCCACATCTGTCTGCTCACATGTCCCAGCGGCTGTGAAAGTTTGGTGCCAAATAGGATCCGTGAGCTTTTTGGATGTGGGTGCTGCTGGGGAATATGATAGGTAATAATTGTTAGAAATGAATAGTTGTGAACAGGATTGGCTTACTGATTTCTTTTGTATTCCAAATTGGAAAGTCATTTTTAATTTTTGTCAATTCTTTGGCAATTGAATTTTTTAATTTTCTTTCTTTTCTGCTACTCGCCATCAAAGGATTTTCTGCTTCCGCTTCGACCTGTGAAAATTCATCATTAGCACTCTCGTACGATTCTTCTGGACTATTCTGCTCCTCGTTCATGTTGTTGCTGCTGTCGTCTTCTTCCTCACTCGTTGCTGAAAAATTTAACCTAACTTGAAATTTTTTAAATTGTATTTTCTACAGAATACTACGCTGGACAAAGAAATACGTAATCCGTTGTATTTGAAAGCCGCGTTCATTTGCTAATATTGAATTATGCAATTACAGTCTAGAAATCCCAGCATGTCTGCGATGAGCTTTTCCGTCTGCTGGGTCTGTTGCGCTTCCATGCCCTTGAGCAATCTGTTATTTCGTGTACACTTATGCAGTGTCCGCGCACGCACCAAACAAAAAACCAGATGAACACCAGCAATAAGAACGTGTCTGTAACGGTTGCTTTCTTGGCACAGCTGTCCGTTGGAATTCAAACTCTCACTAGCTTTGATTGCAATTTTTATCTTTATTTCTCCGTTTGTCTTTTTCTATAAATTTTCCGGTTGCGTTGCTTTTAGTTTTGTCTTCAATCGAGTTTTGTTAAAATTTAGAATTTTGATATCTTTTTCAGTAGCTTGTTACGATTTGGCCAACTTTAACAATTTGCTTCAGGAAATGTCAAGTGTTTTTAGAGGTTAATCGCAATGCAATTACCTACAGCAGTCAAGGCATACTGCAAATGTGGTTTGCAATTGCCAAGTGTGTGCTGTTGTTACAGATTTGTAGCATACATTTAGGCGCGGTTTTGATATATAAACGCACAAACATGCATACCGGAAAACGTTCAAATAGATTTGTATATATAATTGTTTATTCACTTATTTAAATGGTTTTTACCACAATTACAATTTTGTTTCTCCGAATTATAATTTTCAGGCATTCATTCTTTAACTTACTGCTGCAGCCGGCTCTTCACATATCGCATAGCAAAACCCTGCGCCAGTACCCGCAATTCTACAAGGTCCTGGCAACTGTACGCGCGTAGGAGCACACCTAAAGAGTTATTTTAAAATGCGTCAGTACATAGATATGTATATCTCTTTTCAACAGTAATGTACTTACAAATTATCTGTGGCATCGTTTCCGCAATTACCATGCTCGTTCCAACCCCATGTGTAAACTTCACCATCAGTGCTGCGTATAAGACCATGCTCCGAGCCAAAGTGTACATGTGCTGGCACGATTGAACTACGCAAATCTAGTTCCTGTGGCGTCGCCTGATTTTGTGTTACACTACCCATGCCTAATTGGCCATAACAATTGCGTCCCCAAGTTAGAATACGATTGTCCCTCAACATCACTGCATTATGTGTCCATCCGGTGACTATTTGTTTGATCTCCTCTTCGAATTGAAATGCATTCGCTTGACCAAATTTATTATCACCCAAAGCAATAACACGCTTTGCGCTATCACCATATTGCAAATCAACCACTTTGATTAATATATGATTCTGACCACTTGATATGCCAGTGATGCGCACTTCGGTGGGCTCGTTTGCATGAATTTTTATAACCGGCGCACAATTAAGCGTTGTCGCTGTTATGCACAAATCCGAAGGTGGCTCATCACTTATACGCAGCCGACCGAAAATATACACCTTATGATCTTCGGTGAGTATGGCACAATGGCGTAGTCCGAAGCTAATGCGTGCTGGTTTATCGTTGCGTGGCAAAATTACAGGTAGCGGTCGGCGTACAGCATTAAATTCACGTTGACAAAGTCCCAACTGCTGAAAGCAATTAGAGCCCCAAACGTAAAGCTTTTTCGTAACCGTTATGCAGCCAGATATATCCCAACCGCAAGCAATACTCGCTACTGGTACATCCTAAAACATAATCAGGTAAAATGTACTGACATATCTCTATCATAAGACGAATGAGGAAATCAATTGAAAATACCCCGAAATATTCTCCAGGTATAATTTGGAAAGTATTGAAGCATTCCTCGCGCGAGTCCAAGCCCAACTGACCGCGACCATTCCACCCGCACGCGTGTATCCTTCCATTTGTATCGAGTACAAGCACATGACCGCCACCGCCGCGTATACGGCGCACGCTAGTTGGATTAAATGAATAATCTCGCACAATTTGCGGTGTCATACACAGCTCCGATTCATAGCCAAGGCTAAGCTGTCCGTGCGAGTTGGCGCCCTGGTATGTAAATGATTAAAAAAAAAAAATAAACACTATTATTTATTACTCCCAACAATTGAGTGCCAACTGATTTGCAATTCAAATTCACTGCTTACCCAGGCGTACACCGACATTATGTTACTATAATTTGATATCGTTGCAGCCACCAGTTGCTACTTCCGGCGCACGAAAATCTCAGGTAATTTACTCGATAGCGCGCAAAGTCGTTCGTCGCAGGCGTACTAGCTGTGTCCTATTTGCTTCCTTGCCAGTTACCGACTGCTGTCGTGTATTTGCTTTCGCCTACCTTTTAGCTTATTTCTTGTTAAATTTGCGTTTCTTGTGCACTCGAATTGTTTTTTGGCTGATTGCATGTTTTAGCCAAATTAAATGTACTTTCTTTAACGAGGTGGATGGTTGTTTTTTTTATGATGTGCTTCGAGAAATGAGTAGCCAAACAGCTGACTGCGAATGGTTTGTTGTTTTGATTGAACACAGGGTGATATGGAGGAACACGTTTTTCATTCTATTATTTGCGATGTTTTTTAACATATGATGAGATAACCGGAAGTCAAATATTTATATTCTTTTCATATCTACCTTCTTAGGGCCAGTTTTTCAGTGCACAGCCGTGGTTTAAACTAAGATCAGCCAATCAAATGCCAGCCACCTGTTCAATTTAAACTCAGTTTAAACTGGCACTGAAAAACCGGCCCTTAGTATTATATATTAATCCGCATCCATCGTTTGTATCAAATTGAAGCAAATTTCGAAAACATTAACATTTTAAGAAAATCGTTAATGTTTTGAATTGGTTTTTTGGTTTTTCTGTGGGATGAATTTATGTCTGCTAATTCCCCTCCATTAAATCTTTAATATTACCCAGTGGTCACCGCGCGAAAGAGACGTAAGCTATAGCTCACCGTGGAAGCTTTGTCATTAAAAAAAAAAAAATTGGACTACCTCTGCCTACCGGTTTAGTGGTCTCAAAGTTTACCTCTATCCGTCCAACAACAATTATGGGGCGATGTTCATCGATATTTACATGGGACAAGCACGCTGTACTTTAGAAAACATGATTCCATCGACATCAGCTTGGTGTACACATTTATCAGCCTCTCAAGAGCCTTCAGAAAAAGAAGTTATCCTTAGGTTGGTCTCGGCAGCTGCTGCCTGTCTTTGACAGTATTCTGTCCCATCCTCAAAAAATATCTGAACTATTCCAAGCTCGCGGCAGGGTCTGCACATTTCTCTAGTTAGATTATTTCGCGAGTCGTTCTTTAAGACAATAAAGATCAGAGTTCTACTATGGTGACTTATTTCTTCAGTTGGCTTCCTGAGGCGGCAAACTTACTTTTAAGCATCAGACAGAATTTTTGACAGGCAATCGGTCATCCTTTCCATTGCGCATGCGTTGTTAAGCAACTCCTTGACAAGCGCTTAGTTTGTAGGAAGTATCTGCCAAGAACCTTCTCTCCACACCGCCATCAATACTCTAGGCACAGAACAAGGTGTTAGAATAGTAGTACTACTTCACTTTAGCCCTACGTTCGTTGTAGGAATTTTGCCGTTATTAGCTTCATTCAAATTGCTGCGCTTTACCTCCAGCGGTGTGTAACCATGCCAGGTTGCCCGGCTCAGAACCTTCTATCCATCGTGTTCTAAGGCAACAATCGCCACATCTCCAGTACTGAAATTTCTTTCATTTCAGGATTGCTACCCTAGCTTTAGGGCTCACATATCAGGTGTGCGCCGAAGTTATGCGCCTTCTGCCCTGACATCTCTGCTTCCGTCGGGAACCATGGCTGTTGGACTAGCGCCACATCAAGCGAGTCCTCTTCCGATGAGGAGTTCACTCGAAGGCACGTTCGTTAGCTCTCTCTCGATTATCTCCGGCTTCTGCCCATCGAGGTCTTACATCCGTGATCACTCTCCAATGCTGTGTTAGTATATTCGGGTTTTGGGATTGCAGCAGTCTAAAAACGTTCACAATGAGTTTTACTCCACTATTATCCTGCTGTGTCAAAATAAGGCATAGGTCTGCCCGGTTCTTCACGCATCCTCTTTATTATCGGGCGCAACAGATCTTTGTCTACAGATTTCCACTTTTCGGTGGTTATTTGTTCACCACGGTCGGTTGGAAGCCTGAAATTCCCTCCCTCTGGTCTCTTGCTCGTCGCCACAATGCCCACCTTTCTTCTAAAGTCTTATAAGTTGACGTATTTTTATCGAAACTGTGACGATCCTTGTCCTTCTGCTTAACAGCCCTGGAGTCGGACAACTCAACGCCCATCAGCCCAACAGCTCTTTGCCTTGAGGACTTGTATTCGTCGTTCCTCTGTCTCACAGGTTTGGGTGTTGAATACTCGTCTGCCCGTCTGCGCAGACTCTAACGTGCAAGCTAGCTGGAACACCCCTATCATTCACCATTTGTGGGATTCGCTAGCAGTATTCTCTCCTCTGCGCTATCCAGGTCCGACTCTCAGGGCTCATACTCTCCCTATCACATTCATCGTGGTCGTACGACCCCAGCCCAGAAAAAACAAACGATTCTACGCGCGCCTTAAAGCGGCAATATCACCCTTGCGTCCTGAGGTGGCGCTGTGTCAAGAAGGCGCCGTTATAATAAGACCGCCTATCTACAAATCGTGGTATAGGAACGGTCGTTGCATAACGCCATGGATGAGGGAGGGTTTGTCAGTTCTTGGTCACTGTTTGTTTGCAGCCCCAGCCCGGACAGATGCAGCGAAGATGATGGCTAACCAAGCATACGCGTTGCTCCGATTGTGAAGCGGTCTGTGGAAGGCGGTTCAGTTAAGCCCCCGCACCGCGACAAGGTGCCTACACCAGCGGAGGCTTTAAGACTCTTTTATCTGGGGAGATACTTCCGGCTTCAGGAAGCCAAATAAGTTGCATTTACAAATATACATACATATTTTGTAGTTGAGGTAATTTTCATTTTTCCCTCCGAATGTTTCCCTTCAACAGAAATTAACGGCTTCTGCAATCTTTTCCTACAAATGTATATTCCAATATTTGTAGCTAATATCTCTTTTACTGTTATTCATGCAAAAATGTAATTCGAAAATCGTTATTCTCCTTACACGGTTGTAAAAAATTATGACGGCACCCACCAGCATGGCAAAAAAAACGATGCGATTACAACCAACGACCGCCAACGAGCAGAGATAATAACCGAAATGCACCTGAGCAAGAGTTAATAGAGCAAAAATGACAAAGCAACAAAACAAACAAAAATCAACGTCGAATTAAAATACCAAACCAAAGGCATTTAGTGCAAAAGGAAATTTCAGGAAAAGCGCGCAGCACGAGCGTGGAACCTGTCGCTCTGTGTCTGGCTGGTTGGCTGGCTGGCTGTCTGTCCTCAATGTTGACTATTTAACATGGCCGCCTAGCATCAGCCGCAGACTGGTTGAATTGCAGCGGAATGCAGCGACCAAATGGCACAGCGCAATGGAAATGGTAATCGAAATGAAAATAGAGTTATCTGCCATCGCTTGAGTTCCAGAGCTTTTTGTGAAAACAACTGTCCGATCTGTTCGTAGCTGTCTTAGAAATGCGAAGTTAATATCAAAATATTGCTGGTATGCCCGGCAAATCGTTGCACTTTGCAATGCAAAAATATACCCCTACTCGTTAAATAAAATCTAATAATCGGGCGCAGCGGAGATGAGGCGGCGGCGTAGTGCCACAGCAGCAGCAACCAAGTTACCTACATAGTCTGCAATTGGCTTGTCATTGTAATTATCGAATTGTTTTGTTGCTTCCAAAATTTTGTAGTTTTCTGCTTCTTTTTTTCAAATTTATTTTCCTCATCCGTTTCCAAAGCCAGCTGCTGGCCTGATTGCCACAAAATGCAGCGGAGTTTCGCATAAATGATAGCGCAATAAGCGCCCAAAAAAAAAAAAAATCTGCCAGCTTTTATCCAATGCTAGATTTATTCAATGGCTAAGTATTATTAGTAAGAAGATGAGTTGCAGCAGCTAAAAAAAAAAGCTCTAACTTACCGTTTAAGCAGATGGCAGCGAGCGACTTTGGCGCTGTACTACATATTTTTGGTTGGACTCGTCGTAGTAGGTACAAGTGCAACGTCAGTCAGTTAGGCAATCTACGGTTGGAATTTGTAAAGTGGATTATTCGGTTTGTTGGACTGTTGCGCTGCGGTGATTTGTTTTGGAAATCGTGAAAACATTATAAGCGCAGTTATCTAATTGCTTTATTTTTGTTTTTCGGATTAGTAGGAATTAGAAATATTACACCGGAAAGGCTTACTAGTCCTTAAGAGTGCCTCCAGTGTTGCAAGCGAAAAATTTGCAATTGTTAAGAGTGCTACTAATGGAAATTCCCTCAAGTAATTCAATAGCTGACGGAAAATAAAATAATGTTCCTTATTTTAAGAGCAATTTAGTAGCCACAGCTTTTTTTATAGGAACTTAATCAAAGCGGGTGAAAACTTTGTCATCTTTTTTGTAGGCTGAAATGAGAGGACCCCAGACTGTAAAGGCAGCCTTGAAATGAACCCTAGCAAGGTGGTCTAAATGAGCGACCTTGTCAATAAATCCAAAAAAGTCCATCATCGTCCCACTCACCAAAAGAGGCACTTCGAATCAACGTAGGCATGCCGCTTCTAGCCATACTCATTGAGAAAGATGCTTGTTCGAGCGCGCTAAAACTGCCGTATCTAAGCTGCATTGAAAGTGAAGACTTCAGGAAATTCACATACACAACGGTGGTGAAGTTATTCCTTATAAAGCTCTGCAAAGTTAAAAAATTCTTGGAAGCGATGCTTATAAGTCGACAACCACAATAATCGGCGAAGGATATAATGTCTGGTACATTGATGGATCCAGACTTGATGATGGGAGTACGGGGCCAGCGAATTTGGATTTAGATTTCAGAAAACTGTACCAATAGGCACAAATCTAATTATAGCTGAACAGAGCGTCTTATCTAATAGGCTTAGACTCACGTAAAACGCTGTTAATGGTAGTAGCGAGCTGCAAAATTGTCCGGTACCTTTTGATGGGTTCCGGGTGATATATCCAATGCATACATGGACATACAGAACTCCAAAAAGTAGAACACCAGCACAAGATTTTCAGGCGTTTATCGCTTTTCAGGCGTTGTAGCGCTCAGTGCTAAAGTCGTAATATAAAACTTATAGTTGAATAGAGCTCGTAAGACTTTAGCGCCGAAAGCCACAACATCTGAAAAGCTTGTTATGGGGTGCTACTCAAAGAAGGTGAGAGGACTCCCACGTTGGAGGCCACTGATGTATGTCAAAAAGTTCATAAGTGACCTGCAGTCCCATTGTTCACTAAATCGAATGCCTAACAATACCCACCGTAATTGGTAAAATGAGTTTTTACCACCTGCGGACAGGTTCTTCTG